TGGCCAAGGAAGGCCCCGCGCTGCCCCCGCGAGCACTGCCGAGACTCGGGGATCAAGCACCCTCCTTCCCAGGGACCATCACTGACCGTGTCGCCGGCCCGGTAGGGCGTGGAGCCTTTGCCACCAGCGATGCTGAAGCCCAGACCCTTCTCGTTGCGCACGAGGCAGGTGGAATATCTCTCCGTGGGAGGTGTCCCCTCGGGCCGCTCCGGGAAGCGCAGCCCACCTCGCCTCTCCCGAGGGCTGTAGTCATCCTCAGGGCGCAGCGGCGTGACTGTGATGGCATTCTCTGGCTCCACCATCCGCTCCCGCAGAACTGTCATGGACACGGAGCTTCCCGACCCACGCAGCGCTTCCACCGCCACGTGATGCTCAGCGCAGTGCAGGGACACGCCGTTTACCTGAGGACGGACAGAGCCAGGCACAGCTCTTACCTCTGCGGAGGGCTCTTCCAACAGCCTGCACAGACAGCTCCAGCCTTGACAACCGCTGCCCAGTGGAAGCACAGCCCATCCCGTGCCGCGCTGGGTCAACACCTCATTCCCACAGGGGTGCCCAGACCTCACCCGCTGCCTGCAAGGGACCTTCCCTGCACTGGCACAGCACAGGAGGCAGTCCCAGCCAGGGCAGCCCCTGCCAAGTGCAGAAAAAGGCCCTTTCAGAGGAATTCTCCCCACCTTGGGCAGCTCCAACTCCCCTATCACCTCTGTCATCCCTGCAGGCAAAAAACTCCCAGGCAGATAATGCTCACCCAGAACGATCTCCCCTAACGAATTTCAGTACAACTTGGGTCGACACAACTTCTTGTTCACCTTCAGGAAGGACATCTACCTCCTCATACCCTGAAGCACCCATTTCCTTCCCCTCTGCTAGTAAAGTCCTTGCAGGAAGGATGCCAGGTTCTGCAGCTCTCACGGAAGCAACCGGCTTCCCTCCACTCTTGCTTCCCTGATTTCAGGAAAAGAAGCCCTACCACATCAGAAAATGCAAAGTGCGGGCTCATGAAGCCGAATAATCTTCTTTTCATGGCAGCTACCTCATTTCACACTAACACACACTTACAGGAAAGACTGTCTGCTGCTCAGCCTGAAAACTAGACATCCAAATCTACTTCCTCCACTTCATGGCATTTAGGGCTTCCTTCCATCGTGGCCTTCGTTACTGAGCAAGGCTCTGTGTCCCTACTCCAACAGTGAAGAGCTATTCCTTACAATTCATAGCCAACGAGAACGGGACCCAAGTCTGATTTGCACCAGCCGTGTCTTACTTGTGGACATAACACAGTCTTTTAGAAGGAACACAACACATCTAAGTCATGCTGTGAGGGCAGATCCACTTCTGCAGGAGGCACTGATGAACAGGCATCACGGGAAGCGAATCAGAAGTGAAAACTCAGTCTCTTCCCAAAGCTGTAACTGAAGAGGGATCTACTTTACATGAAATAGATCGGTGACAAGAATTTAAGATCTGACTCCCTTTTGGAAGTTGTTCTGCAGCAAAATACAGCACGATGCATGCAGCACAGGGATGCTCGCTGACATTTAAGGCCCTAAAACACACAAGGGACCAGGCGAGATCAAGGGCACGCTCCTTTCTTAAGGCTTAAACTTCACAGAATTATCCAGACAATCCGACGGTAACTGCAGAAGCGAACAAGGTAACTTCTGAAACTCCAGAATCAAGTATTTCTCATGAAGTAATATAAAAACTTCTGATGACAGAACCATACAGCACTTTACTTGACTTCTACCATGGGCAATGCCACGTCAGCGGTGAGAGAGACTGGAGCATCCACCCGGGCAAGCGCCCAGGCCTGCGCTGCTAATGTGCCGGCTGCGGCGAGCAGGAGTGCAGGAGATACCCGGAGATCCCGCACCGGATGGCGCAAGCATGGGCCAGTGCCCCACACACAGACCACTTATCCCTCTGCTCTCTGTCCAGCGACATCCATTTCCCCCATCATGCCATCAATCCTTCCCCAAGTGCGTCTCAACCCTTTCTGATTAAACACGTTTTTAAATAATTTGGAGACAGGCAAGTAGGACACGCGGCTGGCTCCCTGGGTAACAAGTTATCTTACAAGGTCCACTTCTGTCCCCACAGGAAAGCAGAAGCCGACAGCACGTAACCTCACCTGGGTTACGCAACACTTCAGAGCTGGGGAGAGCGAACGCAGGAGCGATTTCTGTCCTTATAAAGCATCAAAAGATTAACAGTAGCGTTAATTAACTACTGACTTTTTGAGCCAAGCGGTTTCTTTTGCTCTTGCACAGCTCCTGACGCCTAATTTGGCCTACAAACTGAGGCGATGCAAAAAACCACCAAACCACACGTCTCCCTCCACTCAAGTCACCCGAAGCGTTTACTCCTTCAGAGCAGCTAAGGTTCTTACCTCCAGAAGCTTGTCCCCGACACGAACCCCAGCACGAGCTGCAGGACCCTCTTCCGACACGCGGGAAATAAAGATGCCCTGGAAACAAAACTACTGGTTAGAAGAGGTGGAGCTCAATCCTCAACCCCCTAAAGCACGGAACAAGAACGCTCCACCCCATTCAACCTAAGGAAAAGAGAAAATCCCTCGCCAATCCCATACCCTGGGTGTGGGGACACGACAGCTACATCACTCCATTCGGGAGCTGGCAAAAAGGGGAAACAAATCCTATTGCAGGGCTACCCCACAGCTGACAACGGGGAAAAGGGAATGACACTTCAATCCTTCCCAGGGACAAGAACATCTTGCAGCTGATGCCACCACACGTGTGTAGGACGAACCCATACACTTCTCCTGGTGAGTCCTGCACGTCAGGACACAGGTGGGAAAGGAAGAGCTGTTGTCATCGCTGCTCTCTGCGGTCAGCAGCAGAAGGTGCAGGTTGTGCTCCAGAGGCAGGAGGCCTCTCCGCCCTGGGCGTTGGGTGGGTGCTGCTCCCACCCTGCCCTGACAGCCCAGCCGCGGGCAGAGGCGTACGGACACCCAACCTCCAGCCAGAGAACCAGTCCCTGCACGCGGGTGCTTCGCCAACCGCACCGTGCAGGGTCTTACCTCGTCATCTCCCTTATAGGGGGTGGAGCCCTTGCCCCCCGCGATGCTGATGCCCAGCCCCCCCGTCTGCCGCACGATAGTCAGCGTCAGCTGGAAGCAGAAGGGACACAGGTTACGGGTCAGTGCGGAGCGGGAGAACGCCCAACATACCTGGAAGAGCAGGACTGACTACTTTAAGCACAAGGTGCAAACTTTACCCACGTGCCTTTGCTCATGCGTTTGTCTCGGCTGTGGCGTCTGTGCCTCAAAGGCACTGAAGCCACAACATATTTAAACAAACAAATCCTTTTTCACAGTTGAGTCTCAACACCAAGAGCCAGTTTGCCTGTAATGAACACGTCGGAACGAGATGTCCACCACAAAGTAAACTGAGCAGCAGTGGGACGGGACTGGATAACGACATGGGTCGTGTTCACCTCACAGCCCAGCTCTACCCCACGGCTGCCTCTGGGGTGCAATCCCACACAACTACGGGGAGATTAAGCGTCACCCCAACACGGTGTGCAGTAACAAGAAAGGCACCTCCTTCGGAATACCCCGGACAGATACTTGGCTTTGCTCTGTTGATGGAAATCAACGTGTGACTCCAGAAAAGCCATCTGCTCTGTCCAGCTGGCTCCCTTCTCTTCTCCCCTCTGCACAGGCAGGCTCGGGACTGTAGCTGTGCAATCCAGAAGTCTCTCCTCTTTCCTGTCTCCCACCTCTACGAACCAGATTACACCCACTTCCAATTGCAAAACTTTCAGTCAAACTGGAACTGCAATTGCTTATCTTCAGGACACCAGCATCAACTGTTCGTGTTGCCCCAGTCATGGGATAGAAGACGTAGCAGGATACAGGGAAAGGAATGGGATAGACAGGGCTCTCTCAGGGATCTGTCAGGGCCAAGGACCAAGGAGCTGGCGAGGTAAGTGACACAAATATACATAAGACTCCTGGAGAGAACCAAATTTGCTGTTCTCCAGAGGTCACCTCCCGGGAAACAAAGGCCAGAACAGAGAGCGGCTGCTGCAGAGGTGTCTACTTCAACATCGGGTCCGCTTGGCCCAGGCGAGCCACAGCGTGGGCAGCAAAAGCAGCAAGAGCCTTGCCTTCCTCAACCCTCCCTTGAGCCCCGCGCTTGCTACAGCGACCGAAGTAACAGCCTGTGCGGCCTCACGTTCTGCTGAGTTTAAAACCGAAACAAAACTGAAAAAGCCGCCCCAGGAAACGCAGAACTAACCCAAGGTTCCTCCATTGCCTCTGGTGCCCAGTCAGCAGCGTGGCAGAAAGCTGCTGGGATCTTCACAAGGAAATCCCTGACTCTAGACAGACCGTAAGTACGTCGCCTCCGGGGCAAGACCCAGAGACTGAGTAAAATCCGAGCACTGAAAGACATGGATTGTCCAGGTGAGACGGAGAAACGTGGTGGTCGTGAGACGCACCGCGTGCCATTGATAGCACACTTCAACACCAGCTACAGACTAGACTAACGCTTCTTGGGTGAAGAAGTATACCAGGATCTAACTAAACTGCACTTTAGTACTGCTTTAAAGACTTACATCTATATTCAACACAAAAACTTCTAAAGATGATGGAAAACTGGGTCTCCAGACAAGGACTGGAGAGTGTTCTAGTAGCAGGATCCAGGCATAACAAGTAAGATAGCTGAAGGTTTTGCTCAGTGCCTGAGTCAGTAAGACAGAGTTGCTATTTTTGACAATGAATGAGGAATACACAATGTCACTGGTTACAAAAAGTCACGTTCAGTTGCACAGTAAGTTGATTGTCTAAACTAACTGAAAGATCGGCAACGAAACCCATGGATTCCACGAATTCATAGGAACCAGACTGAAAACGTTGGGAAATCGGCCAGAAAAGTCAACTGGACTGAGGGTTTATGAAGACACAGGTAGATGAAAAAGGAGGAACCAGACCTAATGCAAACGGGCTTGAATCTGACATAATTATATTTAGGCCAGAAAGAGGATTTTGAACTCCTAAAGTCAATTAGTTCTCCCATAAAACCAGCACTGTAGGAAAGTGAACTGGTGAATGCTTGTTTGACGTTTATGAAAAGAATAAATGACATGAACCTGAGAATGAAATAACTGGATCCAGTATCCTACAATGGCCTTTCAGTTTCATATTCAGTATTTCACATCACAGCCCAGACACTGCTTTTTGCACTAACCCAGTAAATTATTCCTTCCCAAATGCGCACCTGTCCTAAGGCTGCTTCAGAGCTGCCTTGACTTCATGACATCCGGACTGGTACTCTGGGAACACAAAGAGCTGCCCTCACGGCAGGGCACAGCCATCACTCCTGCCAGAGACCCTCCTGGGTGTTTGTCCTGTCTTGCTTTTTCTCCCCCAGAACCAGGGATCCACCCGCCACCCAGTACTGGCTCATCTCAGCTGTAAGGGCTGATCTGGAACACTCCCACCCAGAAACATGCTGCTCAGCCGATTCCAGCTCCCTCCTCTGCAGAGAGGGCAGGCCACCATTACGCAGCATCATACCCAGAGCTTCCTCCTAGGCATGGACCGAGCGACTTGGAACAGCGTTCAGCGCTGCGCCTTGCAACTGCCCGCTAAGGGATTCTGCAACCCGCTCGTGGCGAGGGCACAGCAGACACAGATGAAGCAAGCCAGACATCCACAGGATTCAGCTGCCAAAGTGTGGAACTGTTGCACTTCAGAATCTGCGGAGAGAACGAGTTGTTCCTCCAGACATACCCAAGGGAGCGGGTTCAAGGGCTTTATTTCCAGAAGGCAGCAAGTTTCTGCACATACAGGCACGTTTTTATAACATGCTATACATCTGGAGGCAGGTAAGTGCCTAATCCCTGCATTTACATCCCTTGAAACTTTAAAGGAGACTGGATTGTCAACGACACAGAAAAGGCACTAGTGCCATAACCACTTCTGATTTGTATTTGGACAGAAACATGACGATGCACACGCATGACATGTAGGTGATGAATCACACTTGAACAGCAGCTGAAGAATCTATTTAATAGCATCAATAAGGAATAACCATTTTAAAAGTCAAAACGACAGGATAACTTGTATCCAAGAGTCCTAACAACTGACTGAGTATTTATATGGAGTATTTATAACATTCTGGAATCTTGATACCCTGAAACAGCATTGACATTGTGCTGTTAGACTCAGAGGTTACACAGGATGATGCCTGTAATTCAGCAGCTCGCCATCCTAGCACCAATTCAAGAAAAGCTACTGAAGGACATGCGTGCCTCTCTTCAGGCACGCAGAAACAGCACTCCTGCCAAACTGGAATTTTATGAAAATCAGGTCTCTCAAAAGCCAAACATACCCCTACTTCATTCTTTCACAAGACTCTGAACTTGGCTGATAAAGTAATAGTAAAGATTTGATAAACAGACTTTTGTGAAACGTGAAACTTGTTATCACAAGACATTTTTACTGGCATCATGCGATGTTAGTTTTAGGTGTATTTTACACAAGCTCAGAACCAGCAGAGGTCAAGTACTCGTCATCAGTGAAGAACCAAGAAGGGATCTGACAAGAACTGCATCAGGCCTGATCTTATTTCAAATCACTGACAGTAAAAATGTTAACGGTTCCATATGAGGGGAGGCCATCAGCCTTCAGATATGGGAGGGGGAGGGACAGATCTTTTTATAGGATCATAGAATGGTCTGGGTTGGGAGGGACCTCACAGACCATCCAGTTCCAACCCCCTGCCATGGGCAGGGACATCCTCCACTACACCAGGTTGCCCAAAGCCTCATCCAGCCTGGCCTGGCACACTGCCAGGGATGGGGCAGCCACAGCTTCTCTGGGCAACCTGTGCCAGTGCCTCAGCACCCTCAGAGGGAAGAATTTCTTCCTTAGATCCCATCGAAATCTCCCCTCTTCCAGTTTAAAGCCATCACCCCGTGTCCTGTCACTACACACCCTTGTCCAAAGCCCCTCTCCAGCTTTCTTGTAGCCCCTTTAGGCACTGGAAGGTGCTGGAAGGTCTCCCCAGAGCCTTCTCTTCTCCAGGCTGAACAGCCCCAACTCTCCCAGCCTGTCTTTGTAAGAAAGATGCTCCAATCCTCGGATCATCTTCATGGCCTCCTCTGGCCCCGCTCCAGCAGCTCTGTGTCCTTCTGATGTTGGGGGACATCTTTTCATGCATTAATAACTTTGTGGGAAATGATTATTCCATGTTTGTAACAATAAAGGAATTAGGGATACCCCATGAAATTTAAGCAGCAGGCTTAAAAATATATTTTTAATATAAAGCGCAGTTAAATTAGTGCTTATTACCACTAAATTCTGTACAACTAAAATGTATAAAAGGGACTGGAGAGATCAGACAATTTCACAGGCAGCAGCTCCCCCATGTCCAGCACAGTGGTTTGCACAGTCCAGAAATCCCGAACTACAGATTGCGAGGACCTGGGAAAATGCCAGTGAAAGGACCACCAGGTCCTGCTAAGGTGTGCACTTCTTAATCCCCACGGGAAGTCCCTCGCACCCATCAGAGGCCTCTCTACATGGACATGCCATTCAATGCTGTGCATCCCTCTTCCAGAAATCCCAGCAAAGAGAGAGTCCTTGTGTGACACAAACGAAGAGACCCGAGGAGCTCGGGGCCAGGGGCACTGACTCACCAGGTAAGATTAGCAGAGCTAAATCTGTCGGGCTGCAGTAAGCAGCAACTCACGGAGGGCACGGGGACGGGCTGAAAATATCCGTGACCACATGGGAGGTGGGAGATTGCTGCGTGAGGTGTTGAAACCAAATTAAAACCGAACAACAGAAAAAGGAACGCGAAGGAAAGATCGTGTCCCGGCGGAGGAGCAGCCTGCGGTGTGAGCTGAAGGCTCTCTGTCTCCGATGCTATGTCTTCCTCTCTTCAGGAGGGGGTTTGGCTACCACAGGAACGGGTACTGGCAAGGCAGAGATGGCAGGGCACAGACCAGAGGAGTCAGGCACGTCACTGCCTTCTTACTGGACACCTCTCCTTGGCACTGAGCAGAGAGCGTGCCAAGGCAGAAAAGCGTGCGAGGCTCCGCCAGTGGCAGCAGCATTCGGGACAGACAGACAGGCAACCTGCAATGCTTCACACTCTG